GTATGCATGCACCCACCCACACATTCACACACACTCACTCTAGTGTTTAAAAGTATGGAATTACTGTTTTCAATAAAATAAAAATATTGCAGATAAATGTGTGAAATGACTATTATGACCACAACTTCACATATTTCAACTAGTTGCTAAAAATATGTTGGATGTGTCTTGAATGTGATCCAAAATGCCTCGGATTTGAAATTGCGTGATCAAATCTCAGGGACATAACATTTGCGAAATTACTAAATAATTACAGTATATTATTTATAGTTTAATAGCTTTTTTGAAAAAACATCTTGAAATACATTCTGGTGTCTACCTTATAGTATTTCAGTCTACACTCTAAGTTAAAATTTGATACAGTAACAGTAGTCATTAATGAGATGTGATTCCAAACTTTTGAACACTTTTGTTTGTGTATCTGTAAATGCCCCCTTTAAGAACAATAGCCCTTTTGCATCAAAGTTGTGTAGAAACGAACACAGACTTGACCATCCTGAATGATTAATAAACCACTCCTGGTCTGATTCAGAAACAGTCATTCAACAGTGAAACAACCAGTGATAAACTATTGTTACTAACAACAGTCAGTAAATGCTCTGTAGCCAAAAGTTTTTGAACACTGTTCTTATATAATGATTGTACATCTCAGTCAGAAAACACGCTGTAGCCATAAGTTTTTGGACACTGCTCTTATATCATGATCATACACCACAGTCAGAAAACACTCTGTAGCCAAAGGTCATTGGGTACTGCTCTTATGGTCATAAACCACTCACCACAGTCTGTATGCATTCTGGCCAGAAGTATTTGGACACAGCTCATAATCATAATAAATCATAATCATACAACAGTCACTATACACTCAGTCAGAAAACACTCTGTAGCCAAAGGTTTTTGAACTGCTCTTATATCATGATCATAGAGCACAGTCAGTGCACACTATGTGGCCAAATGTTTTTGGACACTGCTCAACAGTCAAAAAATCCAGCGAAGAAGATAAGATAAGATAAGATAAGATAATCCTTTATTAATCCCACAACGGGGAAATTTGCGGTGTTACAGCAGCACAGAAGACAGAGCAGCAGGAAATATACAAACAATATATAAAATAGAATAAACAATAAAAATATAAAGATATATGTATATGTACAAAAATTACAAGAAAAATATACAAAGTATTAAATTTAAATTTAGAAATGTAGAAATGTATGTATTGTAGTGAGTATTGCACAGTGAATAAAATAGCAAGTAAATAAACAGTAATAAATGGAGAAATATTGCACTTGACATAATTGCACATAATGGTGGTAAACATATTGACAGTGATCCGCAGTGAATATACTACGCATGGTGGATTGTGATATTGCACACAGTAAAGTGCTGTGGCAGTGATGTTGAGAGTTCTTGCACATGGAAAGTAATTGTAAACTACTGTCTACTGAGTGCCGTGACTGTTATAGAGTCTGACAGCGGCTGGGAGGAAGGACTTGCGGTATCTCTCCTTCACGCACCGCGGGTGCCGCAGCCGGGCGCTGAAGGAGCTGCTCAGTGCTGTCAGAGAGCGGTGCATGGGGTGGGACAGGTTCTTCAGCATGTTTGTTAGTTTAGTCCTCATTCTCCTGTCCCCCACCACCTCCACTGGGTCAAGAGGACATCCCAGGACAGAGCTGGACTTCCTGATGATCTTATTCTGTCTCTTCCTGTCAGCAATGGAGATGCTGCTACCCCAGCACACCACTCCATAAAAAATGGCTGATGCCACCACAGCGTCGAAGAAGGTCCTGAGAAGTGCCCCCTGCACGCCAAAGGACCTGAGTCTCCTCAGGAGATGTAGCCTGCTCTGGCCTTTCCTGTAGAGGGCAGCTGTGTTGTCAGTCCAGTTCAGCTTGTTGTTGAGGTGAACACCCAGGTACTTATAGGACTTCACAATCTCAATGTCCATTCCCTGGATGTTCACAGGCACTGGAGGTGAATGTTTGGACTTGCGGAAGTCCACCACCAGCTCCTTGGTTTTTCCTGCGTTGATCTGCAGGCAGTTCCTCTGGCTCCATTCCACAAAGTCCTGCGTCAGTTCTCTGTACTCCCTGTCATCTCCGTCTGTGATGAGGCCGACGATAGCAGAGTCGTCAGAGAACTTTTGTAGGTGACAACTGGCAGAGCTGTACTTGAAGTCCGCAGTGTAGAGGGTGAAGAGAAAGGGAGCGAGGACAGTTCCCTGTGGAGCCCCCGTGCTGCAGGCCACCGTGTCCGACTGACAGCCCTGAGTCCTCACATATTGCGGTCGGTTAGTGAGGTAGTCCAGGATCCAGGTGGTGAGGTGATGGTCCAGGCCCGTGCACTCCAGCTTGTCCTTCAGCAGTGTGGGTTTGATGGTATTGAAAGCACTGGAGAAATCAAAAAACATGATTCTCACAGTGCTCCCAGCATTCTCCAGGTGAGAGAGAGAGCTGTGTAGGAGGTGGATGATGGCATCCTCCACTCCAATGCCAGGTTGGTAGGCAAACTGCAGTGGGTCCATTGAAGAGCTCACCAGGGGGCGCAGGTGGACAAGAAGCAGTCTCTCCAGGGTCTTCATCAGGTGAGATGTCAGCGCCACCAGCCTATAGCTGTTGAGGTCTTTGGGGTGTGGGGTCTTTGGCACTGGCACCACGCAGGATGTTTTCCACAGCTGTGGGACTTTCCCTAACCTCAAGCTGAGGTTAAAGATGTACCCGACCACGTCACACAGCTCGTTCGCACAGGTCTTGAGAAGCCTTGAGCTGATGGCATCTGGACCTGCAGCCTTCCTGATCTTCATCCTCCTGAGCTCACTTCTCACCTGGGATGATGTGAATGTGAGGCTGGAGTAAGGGAGAACAGTGCTGGGATGTATGCCAGCAGGAGAGCCTGGGACTTTTGAGCTGGTAGAATCCTACATCGGACAAGAATGGGACATTTCTCTCCCAAAACTCCAGCAATTGGTCTCACTTCCCAGATGTTTACATACTATTGTTAAAAGAAGAGTGGATTTTACACAGTGGTAGACATGGCGCTGTCCCAACTTCTTTGCAAATCGTTGGATTCTGTTTTTATTTACATTTGTTTATATATTACACTCCGCCCAATGACCGCTGGGATAGGCTTCAGTTCCTCCCACGACCCAGAAGGATAAGCGGCACAGCATCCCAACTTTTTTGGGATTGTGGTTGTAGAAACTTTCAAACTTTGTCGTGTAGGTCTAAATGTAGGTCATCTGTAAATGGCATGGTGGTGATTCACATAGACTTAGAGTGACATCATAATCAGGTTTAAACTGGCTTTAACTGGTTCTTCAGTGTCACTTTTGCCTGTTTTAATTGTCCCTTTCTCTTTGTCCTTCTCAGTATCTATCCTTCCACAACTCTATCTGTCTATCTGTTTGTCTGTCAGTGTCTATCTCTGTTGATCTATCTATTCTTACACAACTATTTGTCTATCTTTCTATCTATCTACTGTTCTTAAAATAAAGCAATGCTCTTGTAGGAATGGTTTCCATTAACTAAATGGTAAGCAGTTTCTTCAAAGATTTTTGAGGAGCATTTTAATATGTGTTGTTTATGATCACTTTGGTCAATTTTCTTAAGGGGTGTGTGTCATTTAGGAGTTGACTGTTTTCTCAGTATGCAAAAGGAACACTGCCCTGTGTCTGGGTGCACGTTTTACCCCAAAGGTTTAACTTTCACTTCAAAAAAATATATTTTCTTTCTCTCAAAACCTACTTTACTGCTCTCTCAACAAAGCCCACCGTAACCATATGTTTTAACAGTGTTTCTTTTATAACTTTGGATAAATACAAGAGTTGCTGTTTTCTAATGTCAAAAGATTAGATCAGCTGACCCCAATTTTTCTGGGTCAGTAAATCCCATGAATGCAGTAGTTCATTTGAATATTGTAGACTAAATTAGATCAGAGACATTCAGTAAATTTATTGAGATTAGATGGCTCAGTAATTTTACCAAGAGAGAAAATGGGGGGAGAAAAAGAAGAGAAACTGCAAATCAAGCAAAGAAGTTTTCTTCTTTGGCACCTTTTTAGTAAATAACTCTTGGACAGCTAACTTTCTAAGGCTTGGGAGTGGGATCCTTAAGCCTGGCCATGACATAGACATGCATGGTTAACTTGTGGCCTCAACTTAGTAAGGTGTTGGAACTTGTTGCCATGCCTTCCTAAGTTGTGACTGCGCATTAGGATCCTGTTCCTTCACCTTGGTAAGTGACCATGCATTATTCTTATTAAGAAGGGATGACATCAGCGGGGCTCCGTACTCTCTATTATTTAAACTCTATAATTTAAAAGCCCAATCTGCCAGATTGTATTGCCAAAACAGACCTAAGCTATACTCCTTGCTGCTTAATCAGGTTGTGCTTAACATGCTTATTCCTGTTTAATAGACAAAGATTGGTGCTGTGTCTTTCAAATTGGACTCTACATTTTGAAATTGTAAAACAACTCTACATTTTGAAAATGTCAAACAATTCTGAGATGTACATTGAATTACCAGTTTATTAAGGGCTCCTTCCTTCTAACTGTAATCAATGGCCATTTTATCAGAAGCACCTTTAAGTTTACTATTACTGACTGTACCCCATCAGTTACTATGTGCAGTAGACATTCTCTTGTTGTCTAGTTAATATTACTCTAAATAACCCCACTCTTCACTTCTTTCTTGAAGCTTCTTCCAATGCTGTGTAAAATTTGGTGTGCTGTAGTCACATGATTTACTAGACAAAGTGCAAATAGCCAGCCTGTGAGTTTAATGCTATCATCACTTAGTGAAAATAGACACTGCCTTACTGGGTGTAGTTGTTAAGGCTTCTGTGTAATTTAATGTTGTGTTTTTTTCCTGAAGCTGAAAAATAAATACCTTGTACTTAATGGCTGTTTTGACTGGAAATTGTATAAAACATGGGCCATCTTTGACTTTTGCACAGTACTGTATGTATTTTTTAATTCTGACTTTCATTTTCTATGCTATGCAGGAATTCATAATTTCTGAAGATTTCAACAAGATGAACCATGTGAAAACCTACCCAGGTAAAGAGAGAAAATATAAAAATTGTTCAGTGTTAACATCTATCCACAGTTATAACCCTTAACGGAGAGCCCTTATCCCTCCAAGAGGGGAAACCTACACATTTAAGGTATATGCTGAAATGGCTGTTCTGAAAACGTTCCACCTCTCACAACACATTTGTTTTTGTTTTATAAAATAATTTTACTTCTGCAATCAAACAAATAAATTCATCTTTAACTTGTCTGACACAGACTTTCACTCAGGGTCAAGCCTTAATGTCAAGCCTTGTAGCAACACACAAGCCTTCATTGCAAAGATTGGTTACTCTGAACAGCTCATCAGGCAGAGAAGGTGAAAAAAAAAGGGTTTTGCTGCTATTACTGGGGCACTGACTCCTGTTAGCTGCTGTTTCCACACTACTGAAAGATGATGGCAAGTGCATGTTCAGTAAAAAATAATAACAGTAATAATAATTTCATAAAAGGAGACACACTGAAAATCAGTGGTATATTTTGTAATGCGCTCAACATGGAGGCTGTGTTATAGAAAGTCCTGCCATTCAATAAAAAGAAAATAGCCTCCTTGTAAAATGAAGATCTTATATGGCCAAGATTGCCACAAAGTGGATAGACTTTGCTATAAATTAGGCGAACTATAATTTGGATTTGTACCACTTTGACACTTGAACAGTGAGGTTAAAATTCTTCTGTAACAGGCTGTTGGCTCATTTTGGTGACCCAGACTGGGGACTCCATCTCTGTGCCTCCTTGTAGGCCTGCAGGTCACCAGATTTGAACATAGAGTTTCATGTTCTGAGCAGGGTTTTCACCCTACCAAACTACCATTTTTGTTAGGGAACACTTTGACAGTTTTTATTTTAGACACACTCTCAGCACAAACGTTTATATATGAAAACAGCTGATGTGTGCGTCTCTCACCAACACCCGGTTGTGTGTGTCTCGACCAGGTGTTGGTGAGAAAAAGTTGAGCTCTCCACTCATGGGGGAGGACTGAATCTGTGGAGGGGTAAGGTCCAAGTTGGGAATAGGATTTTACAATTAATATACAATTAATATACATCATATACAGCTTTTACATCAACCAAGGTTGGTGTACAGATGTCACAGTGTTAACGAAAACATGCAGCCCTAACCTGGAAACACTTTTTATAAACTGCAAACCATTTTATTGTCCAAGGGAGTTTTCATCTATCGTACTCAGAGGAATCTACACTGCTCAAAAAAATAAAGGAAACACTCAAATAACACATCCTAGATCTGAATGAATGAAATATTCTCATTGAATACTTTGTTCTGTACAAAGTTGAATGTGCTGACAACAAAATCACACAAAAATCATCAATGGAAATCAAATTTATTAACCAATGGAGGCCTGGATTTGGAGTCACACACAAAATTAAAGTGGAAAAACACACTACAGGCTGATCCAACTTTGATGTAATGTCCTTAAAACAAGTCAAAATGAGGCTCAGTATTGTGTGTGTGGCCTCCACGTGCCTGTATGACCTCCCTACAACGCCTGGGCATGCTCCTGATGAGGTGGCGGATGGTCTCCTGAGGGATCTCCTCCCAGACCTGGACTAAAGCATCCGCCAACTGCTGGACAGTCTGTGGTGCAACGTGACGTTGGTGGATGGAGCGAGACATGATGTCCCAGATGTGCTCAATCGGATTCAGGTCTGGGGAACGGGCGGGCCAGTCCATAGCTTCAATGTCTTCATCTTGCAGGAACTGCTGACACACTCCAGCCACATGAGGTCTAGCATTGTCCTGCATTAGAAGGAACCCAGGGCCAACCGCACCAGCATATGGTCTCACAAGGGGTCTGAGGATCTCATCTCGGTACCTAATGGCAGTCAGGCTACCTCTGGCGAGCACATGGAGGGCTGTGCGGCCCTCCAAAGAAATGCCACCCACACCATTACTGACCGACTGCCAAACCGGTCATGCTGAAGGATGTTGCAGGCAGCAGATCGCTCTCCACGGCGTCTCCAGACTCTGTCACGTCTGTCACATGTGCTCAGTGTGAACCTGCTTTCATCTGTGAAGAGCACAGGGCGCCAGTGGCGAATTTGCCAATCCTGGTGTTCTCTGGCAAATGCCAAGCGTCCTGCACGGTGTTGGGCTGTGAGCACAACCCCCATCTGTGGACGTCGGGCCCTCATACCATCCTCATGGAGTCGGTTTCTAACCGTTTGTGCAGACACATGCACATTTGTGGCCTGCTGGAGATCATTTTGCAGGGCTCTGGCAGTGCTCCTCCTGTTCCTCCTTGCACAAAGGCGGAGGTAGCGGTCCTGCTGCTGGGTTGTTGCCCCCCTACGGCGTCTCCTGGTGTACTGGCCTGTCTCCTGGTAGCGCCTCCAGGCTCTGGACACTACGCTGACAGACACAGCAAACCTTCTTGCCACAGCTCGCATTAATGTGCCATCCTGGATGAGCTGCACTACCTGAGCCACTTGTGTGGGTTGTAGAGTCCGTCTCATGCTACCACGAGTGTGAAAGCACCACCAACATTCAAAAGTGACCAAAACATCAGCCAGAAAGCATAGGTACTGAGAAGTGGTCTGTGGTCCCCACCTGCAGAACCACTCCTTTATTGAGTGTGTCTTGCTAATCGCCAATGATTTCCACCTGTTGTCTATTCCATTTGCACAACAGCATGTGAAATTGATTGTCAATCAGTGTTGCTTTCTAAGTGGACAGTTTAATTTCACAGAAGTTTGATTTACTTGGAGTTATATTGTGTTGTTTAAGTGTTCCCTTTATTTTTTTGAGCAGTGTATATTCCACCCCAGGCGTGCGTGCAGGAGGCACTGCACGCTCTCGCAGATCAGATCACCAGCGTGGAGCTCAAACACAGACTGTTTTTATCATTTTAGGGGACTTCAACAGAGCGCAACTCACCAGCGAACTGCCTAAATACAGACAGAATGTTACCTGCCCCACCAGGGAGAGTAATATTTTAGATCACTGCTACACTGTGTTAAAGGGGACCTATCGCTCTGTTCCCCGTCCTGCTCTGGGCCTCTCCGATCACTCGCTAATCCACCTCCTTCCAACCTCAAGTGTGCCAAACCTGTAGTCAGCTCTGTGAAAAAGTGGACCACCGAGGCTAAAGAAAGAAAGGTTTCAGGACTGCATGGAATTAACAGATTGGAGTGTGTTTGAGGACGCTACAGGCAGCCTGGATGAATATATGGATACTGTGACATCCTACATCAGTTTTTGTGAAGACACCTGTGTTCCCACCAGGACTCGCATTAAATATAACAATGACAAGCCCTGGTTTAATGCCAGACTGAAAGAGTTGTGCCGGTCTAAAGAAGCAGCGTATAGCAGGCTCTGTACAGCCAGGCAAGGAACACACTCAACAAAGAAATCAGAGCTGCAAAAAAGAGCTACTCAAACAAGCTGAGTAGTATGATGTCCACAAATGAGCCATCAACTGTCTGGAAGTTCCTGCAGAACATCACCAGCTACAAAAGAACACTGCCCCAGACAATGGGTGACACCCGTTCAGCACAGATCCACACCCTCCTGTCATTCAGCCACCTATTCAGCCTGCCCTGAAGATCTGCGAGAAGGATGTGCATCGACTCTTCAGGAGACAAAAAGTGAGGAAAGCACCAGGACCAGATGGTGTATGACCCTCCTGTCTGAGGGCCTGCGCCGACCAGCTCGCGCCAGTCTTAACAGCGCTCTTTAATAAATCACTGTGCTGAGCTGTGTGTCGTACCTTCCTGCTTCAAACGCTCCACCATTATACCAGTTCCAAAAAAAACAACCATCACAGGATTGAATGATTAATTACAGAACTGTTGCTTTGACCTGTAGTCATTAAATCTTTTGAGAAACTGGTGCTCTCCCATCTGAAGAACATCACAGATCCTCTGCTAGACCCCCTGAAGTTTGCATACCTGGCAAACAGGTCAGTGGACGACGCAGTGAACATGGGACTCCTTTTTATTCTCCAACATCTTGCTGTATATATGGGACGTGGCAACAAAAAACTGTAAAGTTTAAAAAAAAAAAGCTTAAAAAAAATGGCAACAGGTCAGTAACATCACTGGATAGAAAAAGAGCATCCCGGAAAGGCTGTGTCTTTCAGAAGTTAAGATTGGGGGGGCGGGGGTGGAGGGTTTACCACTGTCTGTGTACACAGTTCATTGCTGCATCCTTAAATGCAAGTTACAACTCTACTATAAACATATATAAACAAGATGCAGAAATGCCGCCACCTTTTCTGGGCCTCTGCTTATTTGATGTGGAAAAGTGTTCTGTGGTCTGCCGAATCAGAATTTAAAATCATGGACACTGCATCCTCTGGGCTAAAAACCATCCGGCTTGTTATCAGCACACAGTTCAAAAGCCAGCATCCGTGATGGTATGGGAGTGCATCAGTGACCATTGCATGGTTGACTTGTACTTCTGTGAAGGCACCATTGATGCTGAATGACATATACAGGTTTTCAGATGACGTCTTTTTCAGGAAATTGTTGAGCTCTGCTGTGTCTGATCCACTCGTACCAGCACAACACACACTAACACACCACCACCACGTCAGTGTTACTGGAGTGCTGAGAATGATCCACCACCCAAATAGTACCTGCTCTGTGAGGGTCCATGGTGGGTCCTGACTACTGAAGAACAGGCTAAAAGAGGACTAACAAAGTATGCAGAGAAGCAAATGGACTATAGTCTGTAATTGTAGAACTACAAAGTGCACCTATATAGTAAGTGGAGCTGATAAAATGGATAATGAGCGTAGAAACAAGAAGGTGGTCATAATGTTATGCCTGATTTGGTGTATTTTTTTAAAAAACAAACAAAAAAAAAATCACAGTTTTAGCACTTAATATGTTGTCGTTGTACTTTTTTAAATAAATAGAAAAAAGTAAAAAAAGTAGAACAAACTTTATTTTGTGACCTAGCCCTGGTGTGTCAGTGACACACTGCTACTAAAGGGAGTACATGTTATGCAACAAGAAATGAGAGCAGCACCCTCCCGCAGGTGCTGGTATTACACCAGAGGACCGCCCAAGAACGATGAAGCTTGTGAAACCCGAGCCAACCCACTAGCTTTGTTCTTGGGGAGAGGCCTTGCCTCGCCTTGCTAAAACAAATTGTGAAAATAGCCGTGTAAAACACAATTATTATACATTCTGACCAAGAATGCATTTGTACAGTCTTAGGCAAAAGGGCTCAAACGCCACCACCCCCCCCACCCCCAGAGGTCTATCTGTGCATGTCCTGGCCTCAAGTTATGCTTTTGTTAGAATGGCTCTATACCTTTTTCTCACATCACATTGCACTGACATCCTTCAAAACATCAAATCTTTTCAGTCTCTTACTTGCCCAGAACTCACTAAAACTGCTCTCTGTACCTGTTTACCTCTGTGTTTCAGCTCATCAGGGTCGAGTGTCTGACATGGTATTCTCCTTGCTGAGTCAGTGGGTGGTGAGTACGGGGCATGACAAGAGTATAAGCTGGATGTGCACACAGAGTGGCTCCATGCTGGGACGTCACTACTTCGGCTCATGGGCCTCTTGTCTGCAGTATCCTTCAGTTATCAGAAACAGAATACTTACTTGTCTGTAGATTTGAAATAAAATGGGGGAAAGAGTTACATTTTTATACACTGGGCTATTGGACTACATTCACACTGCAGGTAAAATCTCAAATTTGTTTTTCCTTCTAATATATCCAGTATGTGGCAGCTAGAGGTATAACAGTTCACGTTTGGCTCCGTTTAGTTAATTTAGAACTTCGGTTACCTTAAGAACCTTCAGTTTTTTGTTAATTTAGAAATTGTACCAAATAAAAATCTAGGGTTATTCTTTTTGCTTTCATTCAGGGAAGAGAAATGTTGAGTGTGCTGCGAAGTGCCCTTTTGTTGTCTATAAGGTTATCCTTCCAGGCGGATTGGAATATTTCTACTTTGTCAGGCACCGTTTATGCCTTAGTTGTCTGACAGTCTGTTTAAAGATAAATCATTAAAGTTTAATCATTGTACCATGAGGCAAGCTTTTTCTGCCTTATTTTTTAGTTTATAGTGGAGCTACATTATCAAAATAGAACAAATTTGGTAAGTTCAGATGGACAGCTGATAGAAGTTGATAGATGTGGGAGGTTTTCAATAAATCTATCTGTAGAGGATGTTATAGTACACTTAACTCAATAGCGTAGGAGTAAACATGTTACAACTAAAGTGGATTTCATATGATATTAAGTAATGATCTGAGACTAGTGTACTCTGGGGGAGAATGGCTAAATGATCTGTGTTTACAAGGCACGGCAAGAGTGTAAAGAAAAGAGGAGTTGGCCCCACTGTATTTTGAGTGAAATTTATTTTAAAATTTTTTAGTTTTTAAAATGTATTAGGATTCAAACATGCAGTGCGTAGAACCCAGTTGGAATTACCAAATTTTTCTTAGTATTATTATTGTTAATATTATTATTAGGGTTCAAGCACAGAGTGCATAATCTACTTTTGCAAACTAGTCCTAGAATTTTCACACAGTCCTTATGCAACTGGTGTCAAAAATTGAGAAAAGCCTGAACTTAAATAATTATTAAAACAACTTTTGACTTTTGCAAACAATATAGCATCCATATGCCAATTAACCCTTCTGAAATAATCTAAAAAAATCACAATTAATTAAAAAGCTGTATAACTTGAGAATCCTTCACCCAAAAAATATGAAACTTGACTGGTGGCAACAGCCTCTGTCTGAACAGTCAATTTGGAATTCATGCAACTTTTACATTATGCAACTTAATTATTCCATGCTGACCTCTTACAGCAACACAATGCTATGCATGTTTTTTGGGAACAGACAGGACAAGCATGGGCAGTGTAAACAAATAATCACATGTCTCTCTAATGGCTGAAATCAAACGAACAGCTATTTGTAAATCAGGTTTCATTTAAGGATTTTTACTCTTTTGTAAACTTTGTGTGTCTGATGTGAACAACAAAAAAAAATAGACTTGAAACCAGGGGTGTAAAGATTACTGTGACCTTGGTGTTAATTCACTTGAGTAGAAGTACAAGCATACAAGTATTTAACTATTTGGGGAATTATGACTGTTTTTGTGTATCAGCTATAAAAATCTGAAAATGTTTGACTCATTGGAAGTAATACGTACAAGTAAAACTAAGGGAAAACTTGACATTAGAAAAGTTTAAGAGAATATGCATTTTTGTATACATTCTACTAGTGTACATTTAATTACACATTTTTCTGTGTAATTTCTAACAGGACGCATGCATTTGCATTGTCTCACTGTTTGTATATGTTCATGAATGTGTGATTTACAAGTTCCTCTCTTCAGTAACTTCCTTAAGTACTTGTTCAGATATGACAACGATACCCAACATGCATTTGTAGGTGACTACTCGGGCCAGATCACCCTGCTTAAATTGGAGGGACAGACATACTCTACTATCACTACTCTGAAGGGACATGAAGGTAATACTTGCTCACAATGGGTGTAATGTACCCTGTGGACATTTCCCCACTGCCTTTTGAAATGCTCAATTTTGTACCATGTTTTGAAGGAATAGTCTGTAAAATCTTTTATATAATAACTTGCTGCGGAAACCTGTTAAAATGCTTTCTGAAGACATCCATAAGATCTTGCATAAACACATTTTCAATCTCTATGGCAGGGGTGCTTTGTCCTGTAGATTTGCCACCCTTCACAGCTGTTTTTTGGTCTTGACCTTGTTGACCCCCACTTTTTAAAACAAAGTTATGCACACAGTTGCTGTGCTGACTTTTAATTGTCCCCATAGAGATCTTTCTGCCCCCCTCTCCTTTCCGTAGGTAGTATAGGGGCTCTGTGGTGGGACCCTGTGCAGAGATGGCTGTTCTCTGGAGCATCTGACCACAGCGTGATTATGTGGGACATTGGCGGGAGAAAAGGCCGCACACTACTACTGCAGGGACATCAGTGAGTACACATACATTGCCCTGCTTTTTAATAGTTGGGAAAGACATGAGTATTGTTGTGGTTGAGCGTGGCCCAAACAGTACACATGTCTGCAATTAACTACTGCTTAAAGTTTGCAAATTGATTTTGCATTGCCTGTGACCAAATTGAAGAAGTTGGAGATGGAACTGAATCAATGGCTCGGCAGTGTTACTGGGCTACCATTGTTATCTTCAGAGAGCCTGGTATGTTTAATCATAGATAGGAACAGCCCACTTTGATTAGCATTAAAGCTGACTGGTCATAGACCATTGTATTTAAGTGATGTTTTAGGAACAGGTGATTGTCAAAACGATGCTACAGTGAGAAGCACCAGCATGAAATAAACTTTCCAGTGGCTCAGACACTACTTAAAAATACCTTGTCAGCTTCAAATAAAACTGTTTTGCCATGAACAAACTCTTTACAATTCAGCACCTACATCTTGTCTGAAAGGCTGTTGTCTTGGTGTGCAATGCAGGCAAATAGCATGCTACTGGTGACTAAACAAGACATTTTTTAAAGGGGGCCTATTGTGCTCATTGTCTGTGTTGATCATTTTATTTTTGGGGTGTACTGGAATAGATTTTCATGGTTCAGTGTTCCAAAAACACATTTTCTTATACTGTACATCTCAGTTCCACCTCTGTCTGAAGTGCACTGTTAGTGCTTTGTCTTTGTCTAGTGTCTTTGGCTCTTCTTAAAAGTTGGGTTGCTGACCTCTGCCCCAAGGTAATATGATGCAGTTGTTTTAGTATTTTGGCTAATTACATTTACAAAGTATTTACCTTGGGCTACTCAGATATGCCACTGTTTGACATGTCTGTGCTAACAGAATTTTGATACGTTTTAAATTTGGCCAGTTTTTCATTAAAAAAAATAACAACTTGCAGCCTCCCAATTTTTATAAATGTTTGCTTATGCAGTGCTTGGAAACAATTGTCAACCCAGATGCCTTTTCAAAAAAGTGTCTGAAAATGCAAGAATTGTGATGGTGATTCAATCTATTGTTAATCCAAAGTTTTTTTTTCTTTTTAAAAAGCTAAAAATTTAAATTGCTAAAGGTTTTAATGTTTTTCCAAAGTGAGCCGAGGCTTGTGAAATGTGCATCATCCAATTGCAACCAATTGTTGATAGTGTCTTATGGGAGACGAAAAAAAATCATATATTAACTATTATCTGAGAGGCTGCTATTAACCTGCAGACTGAGGAGCCTCTCAAATTTTTGACCCTTTTCTGCAGTAATCTAATTCAGGCACAGACATCTTAAGCTAGAGACAATAAACATGCTTGTGTTTTCTCATGCTGCTATAGAATGGCAGACAACATATCAGGACTGAGAATAAAACACTCTGAATCACTGAACTTTAAATTTAGAGTTTCAAAATGAAAGTAGATCAAAAAATGTTCAAAAGATTTTTTTTTAATTCAACAAAGTTATATATTTGAAAGCTTTCAGCAACCACCGACCTAAAAGGAACAAAACACAGGAGCATCAACCAACAGCTCCTTGGATTAAAGCTATTTACATGTGTGAGCTACATGGACTACACATTAAACAAAATGAGGCATGGCTTTATGCTTCACACACAAAGCCATGGACAGTGTAGTTTCTCATCATTAAATCTTGTATCTTCATCGACATTGCTATAGATGCAGTCTATTCCCAGTTTTTGTTAAATGGAAGAAGCTTTTTTAAAGGTTCCCTTTAACATTCAACCGCTTGACCCAAAACTACAAACTAGTGTGTTTGTGTGTGTATGTGTAGGTACATGCATGCGTACATAGACACACTTACCAAATACTAGTTTTGGGTAGGTCCTCTCTTTGCTCTCAAAACAGCCTCAATTCTTTGTGGCATGTTGAAAAAATTTAATTGAGCTTTGGTCCGTGATTGCATTGTGCAGCTACTGCATATTTTCCAGGTGCGCTTTATTGCTGTGAGTCTCCTGATTTGCCACATTCATAAGGTGTTCTATGGTATTCAGATCTGGTGACTGTGATGGCTGTTAAAACATCCACTCATTGTCATATTCATGTAACCAAGTTCAGGTGACTTTTGTTTTGTGACATTGTGTGTTACTAACCTGAAAATGCCCATGTCTACAGCTACGGTAATAATTCAGTAGTGCCAGTCAACCGGACGACCCAAGTTTATTTTGCCCCAATGTAGTGAAGAAGATGGTAAAAGAGGCAAAAAAAATCCCCAAGGATCTCTTTTGGAGAATTACAGAAAAAAGGCACATCTTGCGGTCACCGAGTCTACAAAAAGCCTTTCCTGTCCTCTAACCACAAACAAGTGCCTGGAGTTTGCTAAACATTACTGGGTCTTGGACTGGAACCATGTTCTGTAGTCAGGTGAAAAGAAAAGTGAGCTTTTTGGCAACGGAAACTCGACTGCACTAAAAAGAATCTGATGCCTTCTGTTACATATGGTGACGTGGAGGGTCTGTAATGATGCAGGCCTTTTTTCCTCCTAAGGCCCTGGGAACCTCGTTTGGGTACATAGCATTATGGACTCAATTAATACCAGGACATTTTAAATCAAATCATGTGCTTTTGTTAAAAACAATGTTCTCAATGAGGGATTTTTTTGTGTTTTCACTGTCAAGACTTAGGTCTGATAGTACTGCTTTATGACAAGCCCTGTTCTGAGTTGTGTAGATTGAGACAAGGTGCTGAAGACAACTCTAAAATAGTGCGCAATTCATTAATGTAACAGTTGAATAACATTGGTCACAGCCTTGATGTGTTGCTTGATCCTGAAAAAATGAATCCTGTGTTCATATCTGACCTTTTAAATAATGTACATTTTAATCTCTGCACTACTTTCGTTGACATGAGCTCTCACTCTTTCTCAGTGAGAAGGTGCAGGCTCTGCGGTATTTGCAGCTCACCAGACAGCTGATCTCCTGTTCTGCTGATGGAACTATCACAGTGTGGAACATGGACACACAACGGGAAGAGGTACAAACACATGCACAATTATGTTTTCCTGTATAACAGTTTCACAAACATGAAGCATTTGGTTCGGTTTTAGCAAGCTGCAATCAACAGACACATAGAATATTTTAGAATTTTTATTCCTCTGAGGTTTAAGTTCCTCTTATTCTTCAGTCTTAACAGTGGTTTCTTTGCAACAGTTCTTTCAGTCAGTGAGGGGAAACAAGTACTTAGAAACTTGTTTGCTATTTAATATATTTCCTGTGCATCTATTTACATACACCATGTCTCCTGACTTTGTGATGCCTATTTACACACAGATATTTTGTCATCTTTGAATAGCTTAAGCATCCTTCCCACTGCTGTGGCAACCATTACAAATTTCACCTCTGCTGTGCCTTTTGTTTTTTTTGTTTGGTGAAATTGTAAATCAGTTCTCTGCTGTGTTTGTTTTGAATTTGATAAACACTTTTTCTCGCTATCTCTTTTTGTTGCAGGCTCCGCATTGGTTGGACAGTGATTCGTGTCAAAAATGCGAACAGCCATTTTTTTGGAACATTAAGCAAATGTGGGACACAAAAACTCTGGGGCTACGACAGGTATGTTGCTAGTTGCTCAGAAGGAACAGTTTTTGTCACATAAAGAAAGCAGTACAGAGTCAATCCTATTTCCAGTAGTCTTAACTTAAAGGGCAACAGTCATGCTGTTGCTTAGTCTTCTGAGTAGTTCTGCAGTGTTCTGAATGGATTCAGAAAAAAGCCGTTTTCAGTACAGTTTTAAAGATACTGAACTTTTTAATATTTACCATTTATTTATAGATTTATATCTTCTCCCAGAGTTCCATTTCAGTATAGTGACTACAGTGTCGACATAGCCATGGCCACACTTTAACTAAAACAGTAGATTCTCATTGGAATTGTAATCTCCTGTGAGTCAGTAGTTTAGCCTTACCACTTGGCTTAGAAGCTACATTTTCTGCAAAATCAACAAACATCTGTACTCTGAATGAGTTGCAGCTTTACATTCTGTTGAATCTTGGCTGTCTTCTGGCATAGACTGGAGGTCTGACAGAGACTTGTTGCATGTTTTATTGCTCTAGGACCTGTTTGTGTCTTTTCCTATGTTATAGCACCACTGCAGGAAGTGTGGAAAAGCGATCTGTGGGAAGTGTAGTTCTAAATGCTCAACATACCCAATCATGGGATTTGAGTTCCAGGTGCGAATGTGCGATGACTGCTATAACACAATCAAAGACGAAGAGTAAGTTTTTTTTATTCATTTATTTTTTTTTACTTTTCCTAGTTCAGTTTCTTTACACAACTTTAAGCTGTCCACAAGGATGAGTTGGCATTCTCACCTCAAAATGCAAATATTTAAAGGGTTGTCATTTACATGACACATTGTTAATGTTCAGACATTTTTTTGAATAAGGAATGTGTCTTGATGTAAATACCTTGTTACATTGCACTCTAAAAGGTTGATTTATACTTTTAACTTTTCTCACCTAGGCTAAAAACTGGAGAAAAAAACAAAAACAACAGTTTTTACAGTTAGCATTTAGGCAGCCGTGTAGGTTAGCTGAGCAATTTTTAGCCGAGAGAGTTTTGGCGAACAGTTCTAAAATGCAGCTTATTCCTTCAGCTGGTGATGCTTTGCCAAAGCTCTTTTCACCGCTGACTGCGTTTTTAGTAGGATTTTAGATTCACACTGTGCCTGAGCAGAGTTTCTGCAGTGTATGTTCTCTCACATACTCACGCCTGATGCACTTCACGCTGAGCTCGGGTTTACATATCGCACAGGAAAATTCAAAATTTTCATCCAGTGTAGTTCATCCATTCTTGGTTCATGCCTGTACTGCCCATATAAATAATTTTTGACTGCAGGCTGCATTGTGTATATTTACCTCTTTCAATCTTATTATGGAAATCATTAAGTCAACTAATGATCTTCATTTGTTGACATTTTTTGAAAATTGGCAGCATTTAGCAGCATCAATAATGTTGATTAGTTGTTGCAGCCCTACTGTGAAAACACCTCACTTAAATGTCATTGAAAGTTTCTTTTGCGATATGTAAAACTCAGCTCAGTAGGAGGCACGGCTGAGAAGCAGGAAACATGCTTATTTGATCTCACAGAAGCTTTAAAAAATTTTTTATTCATTTTTAAATTTTTATTTTATAAACATTTGTTTTTTTGGTTTTTTTTTGAACCAAGGTCTTTTTATTGTTTTTTTTAGACAATAAAAAAAGGGGAAAAATATTAAAAAAAAAGGGGGAAAAATAAGAACAAAAACCCCTCTGAACAACGCTGCACCATAAAAGATCATTTAACCGGTATACACTCATATATAATATATATATATTAATATATAACACATAAACATACATACACACATATAAGAACAAGGAATTATATAATACAATGAAAAAGAAAAAAAAAAAAACAGATTACAAAGGAATTCAACAAAAACAAATAAATACTTTTTCTCTCTTTCTTTTCTTCCCTCCTCCCCTTCCCTTCCTTTTCCAAAGGGAAATTTCAAAAATGTAAAATATCGATTGAGTCCATGTTTTCTACATATGTCAAGACAGGTTGCCAGGTCTTATAGAACTTATGATCACAGCCAGTCACAGAGTAACGAATTTTTTCTAGACTCACGTAGTGCATTACATCCTTAATCCAGTATTTAAAAGTGGGTGGGAACTCATCCTTCCATTTCAATAGAATAAGCCGCCTGGCTAAGAGAGTTGCAAAAGCAATCGCCCTCTTGACAGAGTTATCTATTTGAGACTCCTGTAAAGTCACTCCGAATATTGCTGTAATAGGAGATGGTGTCAGTGATCTCTTAAAGACATTTGAAAGAAAAGCAAATATTGACTGCCAGAATATAATTAATTTTGGACAGGACCAAAACATATGAGAGAGCGTGGCTGGTTCTTTTTTACACCTGTCACACATAGGATCAACATTCAGAGTAAATTTAGCTAGCCTATCCTTGGACCAATGCAGACGATGGACTACTTTAAACTGAATGATGGTGTGCCTTAAACAAATTGAAGAGGAGTGTATTCCATCCAAAATATCTTGCCACATCTCCGTTGATATCTGCATGTCAAGTTCCTCCTCCCACTGTTGTTTCAATAAAGTTAGAGGCTTCAAATTATATGAATTAAGCAAAGAGTACACCACACCAATGCATTTCTTAGACTGTGGGCTGGTTTTCAATATAGTATCTAAAAAGGAGTGAGGTGGTAATAAAGGAAATTGCGAATAGCTTGATGATATAAAACTACGAAGCTGTAGGTATCTAAAAAAATGTGACTGAGGAATATTAAAATGTGTTCTGAGTTGTTCAAAAGATATAAAAGTATCCTCAACAAACAGGTCTTTAACTATTCTGATTCCTTTCTCAACCCAACATTTGAAGGCACTATCGGCAACAGAGGGGACAAACATATTATTTTTCATTATTGGGCTGTAAATAGAAAATTCGTTAAGTGAAAAAGCCCTCCTAAACTGTGACCAAATCTTAAAGGAATGTTTCACAATCGGATTTAAGGAATAAGTAGACACGGGCTCAGACAAAGGCATCCTTGAGCAGAGTAGTGCGTGCAGTGAGGTATGGCAACAGGATGCACTTTCCATTGATAACCACTTGGGAATAATCTGATCGTTAGGAATATTAATCCAGTAGAGTAAAGCCCTAATATTAGAGGCCCAATAATAATATTGAAAATTTGGCAAGGATAGTCCACCATGCTGACGATGTCGTTGTAGTGCATCCTTGCGTATTCGGGGGTTTTTATTACTCCAAAGAAAACCAGATATCAATTTGTTTAAATGAATAAAAAATGATTTTGTCAGAAAAATGGGGAGACATTGAAACAAATATAAAAATCTAGGCAACACGTTCATTTTAATGGTATTAACTCTACCCCCTAACGATAAAGGCAGTAAATTCCAACGCTCAAGATCTTTCCTGAGACACGCTATAAGTGGGGGAAAATTAGCTTCATAAAGGTTTTTAAACTTATGTGTAATCCAGACCCCTAAGTATTTGAATTTTCCTGTGTTTATCTTAAATGGGAAGGAACTATAAGTAATCTTTTGAGAAGCTGCATTAGTGGGTACAAGCTCACTTTTTTCCAAATTAACTTTATAGCCCGATATTACACTAAAAGTCTCCAATAAATTAAGTAGTTTAGGCAGACTAACAAGGGGATCAGATAAATATAGGAGCATGTCGTCAGCGTATAGAGATACCTTATGTTCTGAGCCCCCCCTCCGTATACCCATAACAGAGGTCTCATCACGCAACGCTATTGCTAGTGGTTCAATCATTATGGCAAATAAAAGTGGTGATAAGGGGCAGCCCTGTCTGGTTCCACGATGTAATGGAAAAAAAGGAGATAGATTATTATTTGTACAGACTGCTGCTAAAGGAAGTGAGTAGAGAACTTTGATCCAACTAATGAACTTTGGGCCAAATCCGTATCGTTTTAATGTATAAAAAAGATAATCCCACTCCACCCGATCAAATGCTTTCTCTGCATCAAGTGATATTACAATCTCCGGAATATCGGATGGAGTGGGATCGTAAAGAATATTGAGAAGCCGCCGTATGTTAAAAAAGGAGCACCGTTTTTTAATAAATCCTGTTTGATCATCAGATATTATAGAAGGTAGAACTGTCTCTAGTCTGCCAGCCAACATCTTAGCAAGTATCTTGCTATCCACATTTAAGAGTGAAATAGGGCGGTAAGAGCCACACTCCAAAGGATTTTTATCTTTTTTAGGAATGAGAGATATGACTGCTTGACGCATAGTTGGAGGTAAAGAGCCAGCGATAAACGATTCTTCGAACACAGAAATCAAGACAGGGGCCAAATCCTTAGCAAATTTCTTAAAAAATTCACTCGGAAACCCATCTGGTCCTGGGGCCTTTCCGTTTTGCATAGATTTCACTGCAAGGGTAAACTCTTCAATAGTAAATGGGTTGTCGAGTTCTGCTGCAGTTGTCGTATCTATTAGTGAGATATTTAACTTATTGAAAAAGTCCTCAAACAAAGATTTGTTCTTACGTGACTCTGAACTATATAGTTTGGAGTAAAACTTATGAAAGCATTGATTAATCTGCAAGTAATCCACATGTTTAACACCTAAATCATCATTTATTTGAGATATACATCGATCAGCAGTCTTCTGCCGTAACTGATATGCCAAAATCTTACCAGTCTTATCACCATGCTCATAAGTCCTATGCTGTACCTTATTCATGAGAGTTTCGATATGTTTAGTAAGTAAAAGGTTGTATTCTGTTTGAAGTGTTAGTCTCTGTTTGCATAGCTGAGGCGATGGTGAACCAGCTAACTCTTTATCTACTCTTAAGATGTCATTTGTTAGATTCTCAAGATGCTGCATCCGAGCCTTCCTCATCTGAGCACTATACGATATAATTTGCCCTCTCAAATATGCTTTCATTGATTCCCATATGACTGAGGCGGACATTCCAGGCGTCTTATTATATTGTAGAAAGGTGGCTATTTCATTTGATACAAAGTTAACAAAGGTCTCATCCGAGAGCAGCAGTGTGTTCAGACGCCAGGGGCGGTAGTTATCATGTTTAATTGGTAAACATAGGTTCATGAGTAATGGGGCATGATCAGAAATTACTATTGCGTGATATTCACAGTCACTTACTAAAGGAAGAAGTTTCCTGTCTAAGAAAAAGTAGTCTATACGTGAGTACGTCTTGTGAACCTGTGAAAAAAAAGAGTAGCTCCTAGATAAAGGGTTCCGAAATCGCCAAACATCAGATATTCCATATGTGTCAAGAAATAATTTAATTGTATGAGCTGATTTAGTTTGAGTTATGGTGTTAGATGAACTACGATCTAGAGATGGTGATAGTACACCAATTTATGTCTCCTCCCCAGATAAGATGGTATGAGTCTATGTTTGGTAGACGGGAGAGGAAGTTAGTAAAAAATGTGCAGTCATCCCAATTTGGCGCATACACATTGGCTAGAATGACTGGCATATTGTATAATCTACCTGTAACTATGACATACCGACCTGCAGAGTCTGCATCAACCTGTGACATAACGAAAGGAATATTCTTATTGATAAGAATTGCAGTTCCTCTAGATTTAGAGTGAAAGTTGGAGTGAAATGATTGGCCTATCCAGCCTCCTCTCAATCTAAAATGATCAAATGTACACAAGTGAGTTTCTTGAAGGAAGGCGATTCCCACCTTAAGTTGTTTCAGATGTGAAAGAACCTTGCTACGTTTAACTGAATGATTTAGAGACTTAACATTCCAACTTGCAAATGTTACCTGACAACCTGCAGATAGATTAAGCGGCTGTGCTTTTGCCATTTAAAGTAGTAAAAGATATTAGAATACAGTTAAGTACCACAGTTTTGTGTCTTTGTACATAGATGTGAAATCCCTTTGTTGATTCGACATGAGACATGGATAACAAAAAAACAAAATTAACTTCTGGTGCAGCATAAACCCAACCCTTGTCACCGAGAGGAACAGGGTGACCCAACGATCCCATGAGAAAATATCCACACATTCAGTGCTTGTATTGGCGAGGCCTAGACTAACAGGCTGCTCTGCTATAAATATTAAATTGAGCTGCACCTTTAGCAAAACTTGGATACAAAATACAAAGAGGCTATTAATTTTCCAATGTAAACACCGGGGCAGAGTATATACAATAAAGTAAGCAATCTAAATTGTAAACAATTGTTGTTTCTTGATAACACAATTGAAGATTATTAGAAGATAAATCGGCTCTAGCTGCGCTTATTTTACATCACGACTATTCTAAGAAATATGAAA